TAGTCACTCATCAGAATGCAAGTACTTCAAAGATTAAAAGAGAATTGCTTCACTTTTCATTTCTTAACCACCAATATTCAGGGATGAGTTTTCATCCATTGGCAGGCTCTGAGCAAGAAGGCAAGAGCATGAATAACTAATGACAAATATGTCCATGAAGATCTCTCCTGGCTGTTTTGAAATGTCTTTGTTCACACAAGAGAGCTGATGAGCAAACAACTGAACAGGAAGGGAATTCATAAAACACAAGAGCAATTCGTAAGCACTAAAACATAACACAACTATTTTTCTTTCAAGGTACAATGCTGACTTTCTTTAAACACTTCTCAGGACATTCAAAGACTCAAGCAAACAGCGGTAGCAATGGGATAACTTAATACTTCCCTTCTTTTCCCTCTACATTGTTGGTTATCTTTCCCATACTTGAATCATCCAAGTGGAATGGCAGCACGCACCTCAGCCCTGTTACTGTGCAATCTCACAACTTAGGATATTAACAGATGGGTTTTAGGAAGTCTAGAAACATGACGGATTGTTCTTCCTGTCTCTAGGAAGCTGCTACCCCTTGCACAGATTCAATGGAGCAGAACTGGCAGGTACCCCTCAGCCTCTCCCTGCTAAACCAGGCAAGTGGCTTCAGCCCAGCTCCACGACGGCTGGGCATGAAGCCACTGGACTTGGTGCTGAAACAGCAGAGAAGGACACTGGCTTATAAGCCATTTCAGCTGCTGCAGCAGGCAGGAAGAGAGAGAAAAAGGAGGCTACACCTGTAATCACCACAGCCTTCTGTAAGGGAACACGCATCTGCTTTAGGATGAAAAACAGCACTAGAACTGGACATCTGCTCAAGTTCCAGACATTTATACACACCACATGTAAAAGTGTGCAATGTTTTGTGGACTAAGATGTTTTTAAAATCCCCCCCAACTCTTAGTAGGCAATTCATATGGATATCACATCCATCACATCTATTATTTGCAACAAACAAAAGGATCAAAACCCCTTTTTTTTCCCACTTCTCATAGAAATTGACTGTCTCCCAGTGTTTTGTTGATGTGCTCCTTGTACTGGATCTGCTTTCCTCTGTCAAACCTGCATTCTACGTGCTTGGTCACTAGAGTACAAACTGAATGTACTGGCGAAACCCTACCTCTGCTGGTACCACAAAAAGCCACGTCACATGTGGGTGACCACCAACAATCACGACAGGCCATTTCTGTCACCATAACTTTATCACAGAATCATTGAATATTCTGAGTTGGAAGGCACCCAAAAGGACCATTAAGTCCAGCTCCTGGCCCTGCACAGGACAACCCCCAAAATCCCACCACATGTCTGTGAGCATTAACTTCGTGTAACTATGAACCCTGCTGGGATGACACTTTTGCCTGAAGTAGCCAGAGTGATTGATAGGTAACAGAGGTACGTTTTCAGCTAACAACCTTCATGCTCTCCCATCACTGATTGCTTCCAACAGGGGCTCCTCTTCCTCTCTGCATCTGTGGAACAGCTGAACTCCTCTTCCCCATAGCCCATACCACAAACAGACTCATCATCTGTACCACTGCACCATGGGAACATAGGCAGTTCCCTACTGATCTTCCATACAGCCAACTGTCAGCACAGGATATCTTGGAAGGTCATGACTGAGAGAATATGGTAAAATGAAGAAAATAATTTTAAAATAACTAAAACTGATAAAGTGAAGACTCTTAACATTTTCCTCCTTTGTACTTTAATGTTGCATCCCGATCTCAACAATAAGCTGTAACTGAAACAGGATAAGTCAGGAGACACACATAGTCCAAGGGTAATGGCCTTATTTTGATATCAGAAAAATGTTGCTGATACACTAGAAGCTCTTTTCTTCAACCAACTTTCCAAAGAGTCTCAAGGTGCCACCTCAAAGGTGTAAACTGCAGTTAGTGCTCCTGTGGCTATGGGGGGCTGCTCTGGGTACTATGGCAAAGGGCAACCTCCAACAGGAACAAGAAGCTCCCAACCACTGTCAAGTAAAAATAAGGTACATCTGACTTTTCAACTGCCTCGTAATCCCATGTCCATTTTAATCCAGAATCTGCAACGTCACCCTGATCTCTAGACCTGTCCCCTTATGGTGCAATCTTTGGACTATGCACCAAAATAGCCATAAACCAGTGTCAACAGCATGGAGAAAGTGCAAAGAAAGGGGAAATAAAAACACAAAGGGAAATAAAACCACAAAATTGAGCCTAGAATTTATGTGAATGAGCAGAACCAAAGAAACAACTCCTCTGGAACCTGTTTGCTCAGGGCAATTTTACTGGTATAAGATAGGTGTGAATTTAAAATAGTACAATTACAGATGCTTAGTCCCTCAAAATAGATACATTAATTCAGACACATTTATTTTGCCTTTCCTCAGATTTGCTTATGTTGCTTTGGTAGGGGTACATTTTGAAACAAACTAAAATCCACTCTTTTGTGGGTTATATTTTTAATGAATTGCTATGGGTCAGCTGTAGCACAGTAACTGAAAATGCAACTATCCACAGGCAGCCAAAATTTAAAATAAAGGTTGAACTCTGTCCTGAAGCTCGTAGCAAGCACGTTGTGGTCTGTCTTTGTTATTTGCTGAGACAAAGTGTGGCAAGCTACCTCAGCTCAGAGAACACACAGCAACACAGTCAGCTGTGCTACCTCAACCATAAGTTAATCACTACAGCATCTACAAACATACTGCACTTTCATACATTTCTGCATTTACACAACTCTCACTCCTGTATTCATAGTTTCAGACATACTCTAAAGCTTTTACGTTTGTGAAAGACACCACATTCATTTGTTGACACACACGAGCCATATTTGTTACATTGTTTTATTGTCACTTTGTATTTTCTTAAAGTGTGTTAATCCTGAGGTTTTAACCTTGGCAAGATAACGTTTAAAACCTAGACACAGCACAGTACTCCACTCTATCTTCTCTTGACTCATTATCTTTTACATGTATCAATGTCATTTACTGTAACAACAGACGTGCTAACACGCAAAAACTTCAATTTATTTTGTAATGCAAATTTGTATTAATAGAAAATGTCATTCAGTAGACCAAACACATGCGAATTGGAACTGAATCAGAGGAGTTTAAAAAAAAGGTACTTGATGTAGGAATGCCATGTTCTTTAAAAGCTAAAATTAAAATATTCTTAATTTTTGCAGACAAAGACTGTAATGACACTCAGCATGGAAAACGTATTTTCAATAGCCTAAAAATTCTTTTTCTGTTAGAGACTACAGTATCTACCTCCAGTGCTTGTGTAACAAACTACGTATTTTCTTAACAATCTATTTACAATGATACAGTGAAACATGTGCAGTAGTTGTTTTACAACAGCCAATCTGCCATTTGATCTCTATGTTCACTTTTGCTTCTAAATTAAAGATCTCGATGCTCACCCTGTACCTGACAATGTGCAGGGCCCCGTACCTGCACCTCCTGAAATCTGGGGATTCACGGGAACTCAAGTGACAACATCAGGCCTATAATGATAGACACAGTTTACTCTACTGTGACCTATGATCTATGACCTTTTGCATCCTGAAAAACTCGAGCAGGAAATATAAATATAAGAGACAGCACAGTAACTAAATCCAATACTGCACAGATTTTATCTACAGAGAGCTATCTTGCAACACGAGCTAAACTTGTTTTTAGATGGGGCTTAATATGCCACAATAATATAACAGGTGTTAAATTTTAGAAAAACCCATGAAACTGTTTTTATTCTTTTAAGAAATCGTATCAGCCCAAGAATCAGTAGATGAATGAAAGCAAGTAATTTGTTTACACATGAACTAAAATCCACAGTCTAAACACTACGAACAGACTTCATATCCTCACTTAAACCTGTTCACTAGAAATCACTTCTGGTGCAGGAGCCTCCTAGGAGAGAGTATCCCGATTATCCTGCTAACTCTGTACTGACGTTAATCATGTTAATTTCTCCTTTCCTTCGCATTGCTGCATTTACCTAACGTTGCTAGACGCAGTTCCCCCCCCTCCCGTAAAATTAAGCATGTTAAGCATAAACAAGCTTAATTTAATAACCTTACTTAACAGCACCCGCATGTTCAACAGTTTAAACTACAGTTCTCCCACGCCGGTTCCCACCACGCTGTGAAACACAGCCACACCGGGCTGCACTCGCAGCCTCCCGAAACATCCTTTCCCGGACCGTGCCGCCGAACACCTCGGCAGGGACACACCAGGTCCCCGCGGGCAGCGGCGCCCCGAGCCGCCCGGGAGGTCGCCCTCCCGAGCCAGTCCGCAACTCCGACGCGCAGCCCTCTCGCGGCCGCGGCCTTTCGAGGCACCGTAACTTCTACCCCCTCCTGCCCCAGCCGACCCCGCCGGGCGGCCCCGGGGCTGCCACGCCGGGCCGGCCCCGGGGCTGCCCCGCCGGGGTGCGATTCCCCGCAGCCCCCGGGCCCGGCCCTGCGGGGCGGCGCACCACGCCCAGGCGCCCTGCGCGCCGCAGACAATGGGGGGCGGCAGCCCCGCGCCCGCCGGGCCGCGGCGGCGGCGGCGCTTCACTCACCGAAACAAGGTCAGAGCCATCGCGGCGGCGGCGGGGGCGGGCCCGGGGGCGGGCGAGGCTGGGCCGGGCGGCGCGGCGCTGGCATTGGCGCGGGCGGCAGCTCCTCGCGATCAAAGCGCGGGGGCGCCGCCTGCAACACAAGTGAGCGCGGGGGCTGTCAGGACGCCCCGCGGCAAGAAATGGCGGCGGCCAAGGCCGGTCCGCGGGGCCGGCGGAGCGCAGGCCCGCAGGAGAGGGGAGGGCAGGGCCGGGGGGTGTCGGGGGGAGGCGGCCGGGGACGCCGGCACCGGGGCAAGCCGCGCCGCCCCCCCCCGCTGCTCCGCTGCGTCCCCGCGCGCTCGGGGAGCCATCTGCGCGCAACGGCCCGGCCCCGCACGCCGCGGCGCCGGACGGACGGTTCCCATGGCAACGCGGCCGCCGCCGCCGGGGCACAAAGGGAAGCGCGTCCCCTCCCGCCGGGCTCTCGGCTCCCATCCCCGCACACCGACGGGGCACGGGCTCGTCCCTCGGGCACCGCCGAGCCGTCCCGCACGCCTTTGCTCCTCTGAGAAGATTCCCCGTGGAAAGCACCGCTGCCCCACGGCCGGTGCCTCCTCCGCCTTGGCGGGGCTTTGCCTGCCTGGTCCGGCAGGAGAGCCAACGGTCCGGTGAAACACATGACTTTTGAACGCGAGGTGAGAATTGCCTCTTAAATGCCAGCAAGCACGAAGAGAGCAAACCCATATATTTCCCCTCCAAATCTTTGATTTGAGAAATTTCAGCCAGCCCAGCTACCGTCAATTTTTCGCTGTCCAGGACTGTAAACTTCAGAGCTAAAAGCATTTAATTGAGAAGACAGCATCGCGCCTGGTGTAACTCACTTGTACAGTTTGCATTTTCAACCTGAAAACAGATACAACAGAGGGTAGCGAGTACTCGGCAGACCCTCCCAGCACACGCAGGATAACCAGACCCACCTCTCTTGGCTGTACAGAAGTTCCTCACTCACAGGTACTTCTCTCAGATGCAAACTGTGCGTGCTGAGAATTCAAATCCAGCCTGAGCAGAATCCACACAAGTTTAATCTACTACAGCTGTAGAAATTCACAACCTTCAGCTGAAGGCTTCGGAGACCTCAGCCAGGGCAAGCAGGCTTTGCAGGTGTTTTTATGAACATCACAGAGCCTGTCCCACCTTCGCTTGGGGCACCGTGGTGGCTTCTGCAGCGGGTGCGCAGTGAGAAGCCTGCCTTCAAGACAAGATTTTTGGCAGAGGACAGCCTGAAGGAGGAAGAGTGTGTACACAGGCTGCATCCACAGTTGCTGCAATTAATGGTTCCAGTTCTGTGAATACAGCTCAGGGTCAGCAAGTACTTAAAATACATTTTCTTTCAACAAGACAACTAAAACAAAGATCTGTCTGAAAAACACGTGGTTTATGCAGCTAGCTGTTTTCATGCTCAGTGTTCTACCTAATCTTTTTTGTAGACAACAAAAGGACAAGATAGTGTGGGTGTTTTCAGTATCTTTAAATCTGGTTTAAGACAAGAAAAACATGCAGGTTTTTTATGTCTGTCAAATATTTCAAAACATAGGTTTTTATGTTGCTATACTTTGCTTAGCATGCAAAGTTAAAAGAAAAATAAACACTTTATCCCAGAGTGATAATTTCCTTCATTTTATTCCTTGCCAAAGGAATTCTAGCGTGATAGACCTGATTTCACAAAACATTTTCATTTTGCATGTATAAAGTGCAAAAGTTTATTGAGCAGCTGGACTACTGAGAAATAATATTTTAATTGCAGAGCTAAAAGGTTAAAAATAGATGAAAACTGGTTTGAAAAAAAGCAACACAATAAATCTTTGCCATCCTGCCTACATGATTTGACCTTTGTGTGCACGGAGTGTTTTGCTTGGCTTTTTGGAAATAAGTTAGACCTTCCTGCAGATTTTTTCCCTCTTACATTTCCTGGAATTAAATCCTAAGCTTTCACTCCAACTTCCTTCAATTAAACAGCCAGTTTTTACTATTCCACTACTCCCAAATCTTTATTGCTAACTACTGAACTGCGTGTTTACTTGAAAAATGCTTTCCTGTACAGAGAGTGTAAAACAGTTTTTCGTAATAGGTATTATCAATACTAGAGTAGTTAAGATCAGTCTGAGCGATTTGATTAGTCATTTCAATTGTCTAATAATGCCTTTGCTATTAGTGCAGTTATGGCTAAAACCTAGGGAAGCTCCAGTTAGTTACTGGAGCTGTATTTTACTGTGCCTGGAACAGTTCTGCAGCTGATCTGAACTTTCAAAACAAATTGAGCTCAATCATTATCTCTGATTAGATGCTTTTCTTGGTTTAGGAGGATGTTTTGACCCAGGCTCCAGCACCCTGCAGAGAACAGCAGCAGATTTTGGAAGGACTTCACCATCAAGCTCATACCCAGAGCTCTCAACCAGCCCTCACAGGTGTTGGCACAAAAAAGGTGACGAGGGTAGCAAGGAGCGTGTCTGTACGCAGTATGTACCCTCTTACCCGATGGCAGCTCTGGCTTTCACAAGGGCTGACAGCCTTAACATGGCAGGAAGAAATCAAAGATGCAAAGCGGAAAAAAAAATTAGCCTGAAGTTCACCAGGCAAAGATCCCTTCCACCACACCCTACTTTTGAATGGACCTGAAATCCTCATGGAGATTTCTGTTTAACAACAACATTATCTTAAAATTACATAATGCCTTATCGAGCCAGCACATATTAGTGCCCCAGCAATAACAATGATTTAACTGCTACTGTGGGAATTTCGTTAGAAGAGAGCTGGAGCTGACTGAGCACTGACCCGTGTCACCTTGCAGAGGGGCGAAGGGAGGAAATGCAGATGCTCGGGAGCAGCTGAACCACAGCTCCCACCTGGGCCTGTTTGGCCAGAGGGGCTGTTCCTTTGCACAGACCCCAGAGCATGGGTTTGATCTTTTGCAGGGGAGAGCACAAAAGAGAACCCTGTTGTGCATGACCCTGATGTAAATGACAGCAATTATGACCTCAGTGTCTTGTTTCCCTGGATCTTTAGCCCTTGAAAAGCCCTCCTTTGCAAAATTGGCTTGTTAGCATCACTTAGAGTAGAAAAAGCACTATTATAGTTGCCACCTCCTAGGAGTATTTAGGGGTGTATTTACAAAGTGTACCTCAAGGATAAAGTCTCCAAAGAGAAATACATGCATAAAATGCTATTTTCTCGCCTGCTCACTGTCCTTCAGTAGGTTTCTTGCCTTGTCTCCCAAACCTCAAGGCTCTTTAAAAACTGCAGTCAGTTAGTACTGCTTCATTATTGAGGTAAAATTTCATCACTGGGATTTGCGATTGGTTTCTAGTGTTTTGGGTTTTTTTATTTTGGCCCCTCTCCTTTTGCTGCCTTGCTCTGGGTGCTGAGCACTATGGGACCAGTATCCCATTTTCTAGTGGCCTTTCTTCGATCCATCACTTTGTCTGAGAGTCTGGTACAAAACTGCTTCTAATTACCTGACATTTATTCTTCAAACCTTAACTAATTCACTAATCATATAGTGATAAATGAGATTTTTAAAATTAATCACTGACATTTTTAAAGATTTATACACAACTGGAAAAAAAAGGTTCCCAGCTAGTAAATACAATGTTGTGTGAAGGAAAAAAAAAACCACTATAAATTAAAGCTGTCCTGTATTAAAGGGAAGCAGTAAAATTGAAGACATGGGGAGATGTTACCTGATGAATAGCGGTAGCATCTTATCACAGTTAGTGTCTTTGTGCTACAGACAGCCTTGACAGCAGGAAAACAGCACTGGTAAAAGCCTTGTCACGTGCAGAATTTAATTTAACTTCTAATGTGTAATTGCTGGGAGTTTGTGAGGCAGGCAGGGAGGTGGCCAAGGGCTGCCTTACCGAGCAGATTCGGAGTTCACAGTATTTGCAATGGAACATTTACTCCTTGGAAAACAGCAAGGCAGATTTCTACCACTTATTCAGTAAGATAAATTCAATTATTTTAGCTAATTTAAAAGTCATCAATTAAAAGTTTGAAGACTGACTACCAAGCTTGCTAGTTATAATTAATGTTTATGTAGATGACAACTATTTAAATGTAACATCAAGCCTTACCACAAACCCAGGATTGTCATTGCACATTACCAGCATTTTGGATAATCTTTCTCCCTTTAATGAGAGAACTGGCATTTGAGCTTATATTTTGGATGCTGCTATTGTTTATTATTAATAGCAAAGTTATTTAAACACAATATTACCTAACACTGTTACAGGCATAGAAGAAGAGAGAATTCCTGCATCAAGTACAGCCGCTATGAGCAACCTTTGCAAAACAGACATAATCAGTGTTTTACTGGGATCTGTGCTAGTCTGTACATTTTGGTGGTAACTTTTTTTCTTTTATCTACAGGGTACAGACTAGCAAAATAACAGTTACTAGGGGGAACTTGCATGTTGAATTTTATGATCATTGCCAAAGAAAGTGACATAAGTGTAACATATCCACCATGGCTCCTGTTTTAAATCACAACTACCAAATTAGGAACTCACATTTGGCATCCTACCCAAATCCATAGGACTGGCACTATGTCCCATAACAACTTACAGCAGTTTAGTACACAGTAGGTGGTGTACACCTATGAAATGAAAAATGGGCTTAACACACCTGCTTCTAGCTCTCTGTGTCATGAAAAAATGTTTGACAGAAATAGCTGGTAATGACAACCTTTAGAGTTGGATTTTTTCCTGGTTACAGTCAAAGTGAATGCCACAAGATCTAAGGAGAACCAGCACGTGAGCACAGTCATAGTTTTAAAACTAAACTAAAGCTGTTTTCTTTGAAGCCTAGAGAATGTGCTTTGTTTAGACTGATGTTAAGAGATATTATGCCATTTTTGAATGGAACTGCATTAAAGTAAAAAAAGCTCCCCTTGCCTATGTTTCCTGAACAAAGTCCTTTCTAAAAGAGTTTTTAATGAATTTTACATCATGACTCCCACTTAATTGGATTTCCAAGATGTGCATAAATGTGGTGAGAATTACATCATGAACAGGTACTATGGATAGGATATAGGTGATGCTACCTATGTATCTTGGCAAAATCATATGATCTTAAACTTTGATGCTGACACGTGGGGCATTTCTCTCACAGCAGGATCCCAATGATATTTAGAGGTAGCAATATCAAAATAGGCAAGTGACTAAACTATTTATAACTGCAAAAGGGCTTTTTTTTTATTATTTGCAGCTGGTCTGAAGGTACTTTAACACCAGACTTTTTATGAGCTTTCTTACTGCTCATGTGCACACTTACTAGCATATCCCATCAGCAGAGACTTCTAGTGTGAGATCAGCTAGTAATAAAATTATTAAAATATTAGGAAATTTCAAAATTGCTTGCACTTTTGCTCAGATGTAAGAACCACATACTCTAAGTTACATTTTTAAGAGTCCTGTGCAAGAAACACAATATGTTTTTGATTGCTTGTTTTATTAAGTGAAATGAACAGGCTAATTAAAGAAATTCCAGGAAGTTTCTGCTTTCTGTCTCCTAGGGACATGCCTCAAGTGTCAAAGGAGATAATACTGATGGCTATAAAACACCTAAGTGTGTTTATACTGGCTGTAAAATGCAACTTATAGCTTCTATTTAACTTTCATAATATTTCCTTTTTATACCATGCTTAGAAATTCATATTAAGGCATTAGTTGAAATAGTGCTTTTATATATTTGAAAAAAATCCCTGGTAATTCCAAGTTAAAAAACAGAAGGCAAGCCATTGGCAAAACAGTCTTGGGAATAAACTGTTATGACTATAATTTCATCCATAAACACTAAAAACTAAGAACAAGCTAGCCATTGAAAAATATAAGTCTCCAAGATACCTCTAGTCTTGTCTTTCAAAATGTGTTTAACGCTGAGTGATGATCTTCTACTTGAAGCCATAAGCTATGCCACAGAGCTGGCTGTGGTTCTGCAATCAGTTCAGACTTCTAGAACCACTAGATCCACTTGTAGATCCACTGGATGGAATTTGAAGGATTGTTAAAGAAATTGAACGTTCTCATAAGCAACCCAAACCAGCAATTCTGAGGTGCTATATAGAGCTGACACACAATTATTCTATTTTCTAATACCAGTCCTTCAGAGTAATTTCTATATTCTTAGAGAACCTACGTATGTGTTACTGAAGCTAGTCGACAGTAATGTTTTTAATGAGGATATTGGTTATCCCATGCAACTTGCTTCTCAGAAAGAGTTGCATCTTCTAGACTACTTAGGGTTCTTTGAGACAATGTTCATGTTTTAGAGCACATGAAATGTTTAAGGGTATTTTAAGGCTCAGTAATGCAGTTTACTTGAACAAAGGTGTATGAGCCCTGATAAGGCAAACTGCATCAGATTTGAAGTTGAATTCTATGTGATAGTTCAGAAAATGGACTATATGAATAAGAAATGAAGTTTGGAAAAGTTCTGATAATTTCCTGCTGTATAGACATATGCAATCTACTTATCAGGTGCCTTTGTAAAATGAACTTTAATGACTTGAAGATGCTTCTAAGTCCAAGCCTCAGAGTGTTGAGATAGCAGAAGCACTGGATAACTAATTTGCAGCTCAACAAGTCTCTGAGAGATGTGTTTACTTCCACCAGGAAGACTTTTGAAGAATATAAAATCTTCCAAACCAAGTGGGCAAGCACATGCACTAGTGATATCTCTCTGCTTTAATGTACAGCTAAGTGTGAGCAGGCAGGTAACGGCAGCAGGGTGCAAAAGGCAGCAGAGAATAATGTGGGAAATATCTTTCAAGACCAGCATTAGTTCTTCAGGATTGCAGAGAGACGACATTTACCAAAGCAACTTCAAAGAGCTGAAAGAGATTAAAGTTTTCCTCTTAATGATTCTAAAGTGTTACTGAAGGGATCAATAGCTCTTCTGTTAAACAAGCTGTTCAAATCAAGTATTCCTGGAGAGGAGATAAACCAGTCCTGGAAGTAATAGTGAGATTTAATTAGAATTTGAAATTGTTCAGTATTCGTTAATTTATCTGCCAGTATCACAATAGTTTTAGTGAACTGTAAGTTTACAACAGTAGGATTCCTTATGAAAGGAAAAAATTATCTGATTCTTTCTGAGCCCTTTTAACTGTGCCTCAATTATTTACTATGTAGCCCACATAGAGAGAAATTTCTCTTTTCTGTACCTGATGTCACTGTTTTTTTCTGGGGGAGGAGGAGAGAAGGAAGGGAGAAAAAATCGTTACTTCCCGTTTCTTTAATAATAAAATAATTGCATCCCATTGTTGTACACGTTTTCTTTATTGTTAACCAAGACACATGGAAAGCCTCTCAACAAAGCAAAACTAAATTAGCAGATATCCAGGTCCTAAATTGGATGCCAGAGACTATTACTAAGACTTGGCAACTTTTCAGCTGTGCATGCAGCAATTTTATTTAAAAAAAATCAGAGATCAGGTAACTGATCTTGCAATCTGAGTTGCCCATCACCACACCAACCTCAGGTCTGGAATTCAACCTCATGTATTCAATTGTAAACTCATGCAATCCTCAACCAAACAGATATATTGGAAACTAATTCCTGGTTTAGTCCTTCCAACATCCAGTTCCTAGCAGTTTTCTACACAGATATGATCCCAGTGCTTTCAGCCTATGCAAACACGATGACTTCAGAATTCAGAGTTAATCTGCACAACAAGTCACTAATAAGGGGAGCAGTTTCCAAAGAGAACTGTTTGGTTTTTTTTCTTAAACCCCAATAAGTCAAGAAGGTATGTTTTGAACATACATAACCAAGCAAAGCTCTTTGGGAAACTCTGTACAACGCTGCAGGAGCAGGGGGATCCAGGCCCTCACCATTTTGGTGTGGGTTACAGCAACATTTCAACTGCCAGTTTGCAGCTTGTTGTCAGAAAACAGTTTCTTTGGTCCACCAAGGGAAAGCTGCTCTCCTTTGTGCTTCCAGATAGATGTATTTTCATGAAGAATGTGTCTTAAACTATTTTATGGGAACAATGGCTAAAGAAATCTAATTAGTTTATCTTCAGAGTGTTCAAATCAAAAGCAATAATCCAGATTATTATGTTATACAGCATTAAAATAATTTCCTCTTTATAGCATATAATCATTAGCTACATAAAGACAATTCCACCCCCTGCAAAACACTGAAAGTAACATTGTCTGTATTCTGTCCAGTTCTTTGAAGGAAGGAAAAATATTGTGTAGGCACTATATACAGTTTCACTTGCCTTTGTATTTAGCTAGATAGCTTCAAAAACATAGATGCAAAGTTCAGGTGGATCATTACCAATCAGTTGTTTTCCCTATTCTTTCTCCTTTATTTCAAGATTTGATTGCATGGCCACTTGCTCTTCAGATTTCTTTCCTGTATGCACAGCAAAACACCCTCCTTCTGACTGTGGAGAATCCTAAGAATCCTCTTTAAAGCATCCTGCTGCTCTGAAAACTTGAGAGTGAAGGGCAGATGTAGCGATAACAGCTGCAAGACTGCAGTTGTTACTCAGAGAAAGCCACTATTCTAGCTTTAAGAAATTGTCCTAGATCTAGGGATTTCATTGTGTATTTTTAGCAAGGACAAACAAGACAGATTCCTTGGTGCTTTTCAGACTGCATTTGCCACTGCTTCCTGAACCCTTCCTGTTCCACCTACCTAAATGTGCTTCCATGACAATTTACTCCCACCAAAACCAGTGCTGCTCTAGTCCTGTTTCTGTTCCCTCCTATTTCTCTGCAGCTGCACTGGCTGTTGGCCAACACTGGGGCCTAGGAAAATAACCAGCAGCATCCTAGAGGGACAGATGAGTGCACGAGTGCCAGTGCTGCCATCACAGCAAGGGCAGGGACTCCAGAGCAGCCCAAACTCTCCGAAGACCCTCTTGATAAGCTGTGCTGTGAGTGCCCTTGTTAATCAGACTCTTTAGTAGGCTGCAGTTTACTTCAAATACCATACAAAACAAGAATCAAAATGAAGGATTTCTTTATCCATCCACAAACTCTTTCACAGACCATCAAACTGATCTCATACCACCTTCATAGACTTTACAATGACATCAGTGGGACAGATTAGATTTCTGCACCAGCCTGCAGAACACACCCCAGAGACCCTCGGTCTGAGCACAGCCCTGGCGACTGCTGCTGCTGCAAACATCTTGCAATGGAACAGGGCAACACGGACCAGTAGATGAAGGAATTCAGATAGTGCATGGAAAAAGCAGACCCATAAACAACAACAACAACAACCCCCCTATCACAATGAAGTGCAAACTCATAGAAAGGTGAAACACTGCAGAGCTCTCTTCAG